TGGATTACTTTCGTATCTCGGGGTACCACTGTTATTTGGAAAAGCAGCAGCAGATTTTTCAATTAGTACTTCAATCTCTTCAACAGATTTTCTTTTTTTCTAGTATTTAATGGAAAAACAGCGGAATATTTTTCAATTAATACAAAAAAATGTACAATATGTAAAAGAAAGTGACATGTTTTTGTCAATTTTGCCATAATTTTAATGGTCTTGGCAGCAGATTCTTAGACATCTTTTAGTCTATGTAGAAATGTTTGGTCCAATGTGTAATTTAGGGTAGAACCTTGGGTAGAATAGGTCCCTAGCACATCCTTGCTGTTCGTACAAGGCGACAAATGAGGCGCATTAACTGCAGTGAGTTGCGGCTTCTTTTTTATGTCTTCTAATTCAGGGACTCTCAATATAAACAAAATGATGTCAGTTTTAGAATGTTCATCAGAATCATTTTAATTTAGAATGTTTTAATGCCATCCAGAGTCAAAATGTCAATTTTAGAATGTTGATCTAATCAAATGATGTTTTGCAGATGACATTGTGATCTGTAGTGAGAGCAGGTGGAGGAACCCCTTTAAAGTTGGAGGTTAGCTCTAGAAAGAAGAGGAATAAAAGTCAGTCGCAGTAAGACAGAATACATGTGTTTGAACGAGAGGGAGGGAAGTAGAACAGTGAGGTTACAGGGGGCTGAGTTCAAGAAGGTGCAGGAGTTTGGGTTGAGGTTCCGTTTAGGAGTGACAAGGATGGCCAAAGACGAGATATATGGATGTGCTGAAAGTTAGTTGGTGCAAGAGTACAGGATACTGAGGACAGGTAGAAAGATGGGTGAGAAACAGATGATTCGCTGTGGCCTAAACTGGGAACAGCCGAAAGTAGAAGAAGAAGAAAGAAAATCTAAACCATGATGTCATTTTTAGAATGTTCATTAGAATAATTTCATTTCAAAAGTTTTAAAGCCAATCAGGGTAAAGGTTACAGTTTCAGAATGTTCACCAGAATCATTTTTTATTTATATTGGCTTAAAACAATCAGAGTCAAGGTGTCAGTTTCAGAATGATAATGTCATTTTAGAATGTTCACCAGAATTATTTTCTATTTAGATTTTTTAAGCCAATCAGGATCAAGGTGTCAGTTTTAGAATGTTGATCGAAATGATGTCAGTTTTAGAATGTTCAAGAGAATTTTTTTTTTATTTAGATTGTTTTAAGCCAATCAGGGTCAAGGCGTTAGTTTCAGAATGTTCACCAGAATTATTTTTTAACCTCTTAAGCCCTGAGGCCTATTTTCCGAAAATCCTATACTTTTACTTTTTAAGGCATTTCTCAGCTTTACAAGGCCTAAACTGCAAATCTTGGTATCAAAATGAAGATAGGTTCTTGGGGAGTGGTGTGAATGAGTTAATTTGACAGTCAAGAACACTGGGTAAGAGTAATTAATGTTGGAATGGCCAAAAAATTAACTCCGCCTAAAAAAAAAAAACACATGTTTCCTCCAATATCTCCTTATTTTACTTATAACGAAGCAAATAAACACAATCAATTGTAACCACTACATGTCAAGAACATCTGTAGCAAGTTTGGTGTTCATACTACAAGAAACTAATATTCTGTAAAGATTTTGATTGAACAAAGTTCAGGCGTAATCCATGTTGGCACAGTTTGGCACAATTTGGCACAATAATTGAAATATGGAAAAATCTTGTCCAAAGCTTCAGCTACGTTAATAGTCTTCTTTTGTTGCTTATGGGACATGATTTCAGCAAAAAAAACTCATAAAGAAACGCTGTAAAAGGGGGGTAG